CCTGACCCTCATCCAGCTGTCTGTGAGTGGCACCTGGCCCTCATCCAGCTGTCTGTGAGTGGCACCTGGCCCTCATCCAGCTGTCTGTGAGTGGCACCTGGCCCTCATCCAGCTGTCTGTGAGTGGCACCTGGCCCTCATCCAGCTGTCTGTGAGTGGCACCTGGCCCTCATCAGCTGTCTGTGAGTGGCACCTGGCCCTCACCCAGCTGTCTGTGAGTGGCACCTGGCTCTCATCAGCTGTCTGTGAGTGGCACCTGGCCCTCATCCAGCTGTCTGTGAGTGGCACCTGGCCCTCATCCAGCTGTCTGTGAGTGGCACCTGGCCCTCATCCAGCTGTCTGTGAGTGGCACCTGGCCCTCATCCAGCTGTCTGTGAGTGGCACCTGGCCCTCATCAGCTGTCTGTGAGTGGCACCTGGCCCTCATCCAGCTGTCTGTGAGTGGCACCTGGCCCTCATCAGCTGTCTGTGAGTGGCACCTGGCCCTCACCCAGCTGTCTGTGAGTGGCACCTGGCCCTCATCAGCTGTCTGTGAGTGGCACCTGGCCCTCATCAGCTGTCTGTGAATGGCACCTGGCCCTCATCCAGCTGTCTGTGAGTGGCACCTGGCCCTCATCAGCTGTCTGTGAGTGGCACCTGGCCCTCATCCAGCTGTCTGTGAGTGGCACCTGGCTCTCATCAGCTGTCTGTGAGTGGCACCTGGCCCTCATCAGCTGTCTGTGAGTGGCACCTGGCCCTCATCCAGCTGTCTGTGAGTGCCACCTGGCCCTCATCCAGCTGTCTGTGAGTGGCACCTGGCCCTCATCAGCTGTCTGTGAGTGGCACCTGGCCCTCATCAGCTGTCTGTGAGTGGCACCTGGCCCTCATCCAGCTGTCTGTGAGTGGCACCTGACCCTCATCAGCTGTCTGTGAGTGGCACCTGGCCCTCATCCAGCTGTCTGTGAGTGGCACCTGGCTCTCATCAGCTGTCTGTGAGTGGCACCTGCCCTCATCAGCTGTCTGTGAGTGGCACCTGGCCTTCATCCAGCTGTCTGTGAGTGGCACCTGGCTCTCGTCAGCTGTCTGTGAGTGGCACCTGGCCCTCATCAGCTGTCGGTGAGTGGCACCTGGCCCTCATCCAGCTGTCTGTGAGTGCCACCTGGCCCTCATCCAGCTGTCTGTGAGTGGCACTTGGCCCTCATCCAGCTGACTGTGAGTGGCACCTGGCCCTCATCCAGCTGTCTGTGAGTGGCACCTGGCCCTCATCCAGCTGTCTGTGAGTGACACTTGGCCCTCATCCAGCTGTCTGTGAGTGGCACCTGGCCCTCATCCAGCTGTCTGTGAGTGGCACTTGGCCCTCATCCAGCTGTCTGTGAGTGGCACTTGGCCCTCATCCAGCTGAGTGGCACCTGGCCCTCATCCAGCTGAGTGGCACCTGGCCCTCATCCAGCTGAGTGGCACCTGGCCCTCATCCAGCTGAGTGGCACCTGGCCCTCATGCAGCTGAGTGGCACCTGGCCCTCATCGAGCTGAGTGGCACCTGGCCCTCATCCAGCTGAGTGGCACCTGGCCCTCATCCAGCTGTCTGTGAGTGGCACCTGGCCCTCATCCAGCTGAGTGGCACCTGGCCCTCATCCAGCTGTCTCTGAGTGGCAACTGGCCCTCATCCAGCTGTCTCTGAGTGGCAACTGGCCCTCATCCAGCTGTCTCTGAGTGGCACCTGGCCCTCATCCAGCTGTCTCTGAGTGACACCTGGCCCTCATCCAGCTGTCTCTGAGTGGCACCTGGCCCTCATCCAGCTGAGTGGCACCTGGCCCTCATCCAGCTGAGTGGCACCTGGCCCTCATCCAGCTGAGTGGCACCTGGCCCTCATCCAGCTGAGTGGCACCTGGCCCCTCATCCAGCTGTCTGTGAGTGGCACCTGGCCCTCACCCAGCTGAGTGGCACTTGGCCCTCACCAATGGCATAACTTCCAGCTATTTTTGTCCTAGTCTCACCATGATCAATATGCTGGCAGCGTTCGACCCCCCGTCCCGCCCAGGTCAACCAGGCCGCTCTGTGAACCTGTCTTTGGACGGGTGTGAGGTGACGGGTGGACGGGCTAAAGGGCCACCCGTCCCATGGGATCGTTCGCTCAGGTGATAAACGTCAGTGTTGATCAGTACTGATTAGACAGTGTTGGCGAGGACGTCTCAACTGTCCGTCTGTCAGGACGTCTCCACCCGTCGCACTCCTGTCACTCCGTCACTCCTGTCGCTCCGTCACTCCTGTTGCTCCGTCACTCCTGTCGCTCCGTCACTCCTGTCGCTCCGTCTCTCCTGTCGCCATTCCTATAGCCAACACCGGTGTCCTATTCATTATTTTCACAGTGTATCCTGTCATTTCGCATCACATTACAGACACAGTTGATTGACAGTTGAGAGACGGGCCGAAAGAGCAAAGCTCAACCCCCGCAAACACAACTAGGTGAGTACACACACACACACACACACACACACACACACACACACACACACACACACACACACACACACACACACACACACACACACACATACACGCACACACACGACATTCTCGCTATTCATTACCAGTGTGGTGGTCCAGCAGTGTGGTGGTCCAGCAGTGTGGTGGTCCACCAGTGTGGTGGTCCACCAGTGTGGTGGTCCAGCAGTGTGGTGGTCCACCAGTGTGGTGGACCACCAGTGTGGTGGTCCACCAGTGTGGTGGACCACCAGTGTGGTGGTCCAGCAGGCTGCAGCCTCACCTCTGTACACCTTTAATTATTCAGTCTCGACAACGTCATCTCAGACTCCTCCTCTTGGCCCTTCCTGCTCTAGAAGACAATATTTTGTTGCTGCTCACTGATGGGTTATATTCTGATGGGTCATATTCTGATGGGTCATATTCTGATGGGCCATATTCTGATGGGTCACATTCTGATGGGCCATATTCTGATGGGTCACATTCTGATGGGTCACTTACTGATGGGCTACTCATCGCTGCATGTGGCTAATTTTGCCGTATACCTTACACTTATAAATCAGTTAAAATTAATGTTTTTTTGAGAGAGAGGCAGGAGGAGGTCACTCAGGGTGATCGACTGTCACCCTGAGTGACAAGGATGACTGTCACCCCTGAGTGACAAGGATGAGTGTCACCCTGAGTGACAAGGATGAGTGTCACCCTCAGCACACTGACCTAGCCAAGTACCGGCCGTCTCCAAGACCCTGCTGGTAAATAGAGTGAGGGATCACCTCTCACACACTCAGACGCTGTCATGCATCAGAAGAATATAAACAGTTGTGATGTGGCGATTGTGCAGGTGTGTGGGGGGGGGGGGAGGGGGCAGAGCACGCCACCAACACTGCAACACAATAGTGGAGGGATGCAACCCGTTCTCGCACTTTCTTATAGTCAATATTGGCTTATTAAATAAGTGCATATGTTACATACTAATTTATTGTGAATATTTTAGTTTACCTTGAAAAGCTTCATTGAAAACACCGACCTTACCTAACCTTCTTAGTATGTTAAGATAAGCATCTTATAGCTTCGTAATTACAATTATTACTTAGCCTATACCTATAATAAGGTTAGGTAAGGTCGGTGTTTTCTATGAAGCTTTTCTAGGTAAACTAAAATATTCAAAATAAATTAGTATGTAACATATGCACTTATTTAATAAGTCAATATTGACTATAAGAAAGTGCGAGAACGGGTTAAGGGGTGTTAAGGGCACTGCAACACAATACGGAACTCTTTCTCGACACACTATTTCCTTGCCTGTAGGTTAACATTAACACCAGCAGGTTCAGGCGGTAATCCACAATAGCTAAATTGATCGGTGAGAAGTGCGGATATCCTGCAGTAATGCTTCGTAGGTGCCTTATGCAGGCACGAAGCACTTTGTGACCTGCCTGTCTACCAGGGAGAGACCAGAGGCACTGTTTCCTGGTAGTTCCTGGACCATGTCGTTCACTGTTATAGTTGAGGTGTTAAGATCACTTCAGGGAGTAGTATAATTTATTGTACATGATTATAATAATAATTCTGCTGGGTCATGAAGGAAGCGGGCCGCGGGTGAAAGAGGGCGGTGTAGATCTCTGTCTGGAACCCGGGGGAGGGGGACCTGCTGCATGGGTAACAACTTCTCTATATCAACCCTACCCCTGGCTTTGCGCCCTGGAGAGGCCACTCCAGACCGACAATCAGACCGCAACTACAGTAAAACAAAATTAGCCGTTACATTCGGCCAAAAATCGTCGTACTAGAACATGGAAGCGGCTGGCGAAAGTGACGTACTGTCCCGTTTTCTGTTTTGGGTCCTCTGGCAGGTTAGGATAGGACACTTTAAATTGACCGTTTTCTGGACGTTGGGGATCCCTAGGTGGACGGGCTGCTCGATAACCTACTTCCCTCGACCACATCGACCAGACTGGTCTAGGTAATACCTCCACCACATCGACCAGACTGGTTTGGGTAATGAACCTGTGGGTCGGGTCGTGGGGGGCGGCTCCCCCCCTCCCGTTACCTGCTTTCCCACAGCAATTTGCCCACGAGCCGCAGTTGCTAAGGGAAGGCTGAAGGCTGGTGCCAGTGTGTACTTACCTTTCAACACTTACCTATCGGGTGACCACGGCGATGCCCCGCCCTCTAGTCTTGTTGCAACAAATGCAACATTTTTTTACATTTATACGAATTCATAAGACAAGGAAAAGATAAATTAAGATGAAAACAACAAGGCCAAATATAATAATTACTATATATCTATATAAACAGTACTCTAGGGGAGTACACATACACAATCTCACTATATAAAGTGCTTAAACAATGCACAAACAACGCGGCCAAACACGTTAAACAAACCCAACCACATCCCACTAACCACCAGGGCAACTATCAATAATGAACGGATCAATCCCGAAGCCAGCACCCTCCCTGGGTCAAGGCCAGAGGTCACTCAGTACCTTCAGAGACGAAATATAAAACGAAAATGCCTTTATATTTGTCACCGCACAAGCTTAAGGCTGAGAATAATAAACAGGTCCAATTGTTAATGGTCTGCTACCATTATGTCTGGCGTCGCTGCCACCATTATGTCTGGCGTCGCTGCTACCATTATGTCTGGCCTCGCTGCTACCATTATGTCTGGCGTCGCTGCCACCATTATGTCTGGCGTCGCTGCTACCATTATGTCTGGCCTCGCTGCTACCATTATGTCTGGCCTCACTGCTACCATTATGTCTGGCCTCGCTGCCACCATTATGTCTGGCCTCGCTGCTACCATTATGTCTGGCCTCGCTGCTACCATTATGCCTGGCCTCACTGCTACCATTATGTCTGGCCTCGCTGCCACCATTATGTCTGGCCTCGCTGTCACCATTATGTCTGGCCTCAATGCTACCATTATGCCTGGCCTCACTGCTACCATTATGTCTGGCCTCGCTGCCACCATTATGTCTCGCCTCACTGTCACTTACCTTTACGTTAAATAACTTACATGTTTATTCTACTGTGAATAAAGAAATGTAATACCTTTTATAAAGGATTAATACGATAATTACAAGGTGGTCGTATATATAATTTTCATTCTGGTATATACAATAGGTGCCTCATATACACGGACCCTCACTGTATATCAAGGGGTTATAACAGCCATTATGTTATGCGTGAAATAATTATATGTTTAATAGATACTGCGTTAAAGATGACTCAATTAGCTTCAGAACCATCCCAAGTAATTATCTAATGAGGAGAGTAATTATCCCAAGACACTGAGCTATGTGAGGTGGGGTTTGGCATCCCACAAAGGGCAGTATTGGGCCACTGGTGTTAAACTCCATGGTATCATTGTATATATTTAATTGATATGATAGTACACAACTTTTGGAGTTAATTGCTCATTTGGAGCTCTCAGTTATCAGTTACTAGTCCCCCCCCCGCACATACTAGGATGATTACCATTGAACTAGTACTCACCTAGTTGTGTTTGCGGGGGTTGAGCTCTGGCTCTTTGGTCCCGTCTCTCAACAGTGTTTACAGTGGCAGTTTAAGATGGCTATAGTGTACTGTTGTTAGATAATCTTACTAACTGTACTATGTAGAAGTGATCCTGTCAAGAAATGATAAATTAATTTTAATCTGCACTATACTGTCAGGTAAGGACTGTTAAGTAAAGACTGTTGTTAAGGAAGCACTGGAACCTCAGGTACCCTTCTGATAACCTCTTCCTACCACTCAAGTGGTATGGAATACCTTCCTTTCCCACGGTGGCAGATCATCTTCTCCCCAACACTCCCACGGTACCGGATCCTCCACAACTGGTTCACAGAGGATCCGGCGCCCTCCTACAAGCTCCGAAACAGGAATAGTGTTGGTTAAGTTGTTTTAGATTCAGCAACTCGGAACTAAAGTACCAAGTAGCACGGGCTATGGTGAGCCCGTAGTGGACTTACCTGGCACAGGAGCGGGACAAGTAGCACGGGCTATGGTGAGCCCGTAGTGGAGTTACCAGGCACAGGAGCGGGACAAGTAGCACGGGCTATGGTGAGCCCGTAGTGGAGTTACCAGGCACAGGAGCGGGGCAAGTAGCACGGGCTATGGTGAGCCCGTAGTGGAGTTACCAGGCACAGGAGCGGGGCTGTAACTGAATGGTGTTGGATTGTGTTTATGTTAAATTAATGGTGTTCATATCTTTATCATAAACACAATATTCTCCCCCTTGTAGCCATCGTGGTAGGATCACCTGCCAGACAGGACAAGCCCCTGTCTACCTGTCTGTTTGGAGCCGTGGAAGTGGTTAAGGTGCTGCAGGTGTGTGGAGGAGGCAGGTGTGTGGAGGCTGGTGTGTGGAGGAGGCAGGTGTGTGGAGGCTGGTGTGTGGAGGAGGCAGGTGTGTGGGGGAGGCAGGTGTGTGGAGGAGGCAGGTGTGTGGAGGAGGCAGGTGTTGAGACGACCTACAGGTGTGGACAGGTGTACAACACCTGCCCACACAAGATATAGTGTGGAGGGAACTGTGGTGATCCACCACGCTCACTGGTAACTTATTACTGTACTCTTGTATAAGTTCAAGGTGAGGCACCCCCCTGTGAGGTGCCCCACAGAGAGTGGGACACCCCCAACAACCTCCCTTTTGGGGGTGGGGGGCGCCGCACCCTGTCTCATTCAACCCTACATTGAATTTAATGCAATATTAAATTTCATACTTATTTCACTGGTACATGAAGGACAATTATAATATAAATATTTAACATCATACTCACAGAGACTCAGAAATAACGTCCACTCGTGTGTGGAGGTTCAGAACGTCCCTCGCCGTGTCCTCGGACACCTCACCTCTCGTGTCCTCGGGACACCTCACCTCTCGTGTCCTCGGACACCTCACCTCTCGTGTCCTCGGGACACCTCACCTCTCGTGTCCTCGGACACCTCACCTCTCGTGCCCTCGGACACCTCACCTCTCGTGTCCTCGGACACCTCACCTCTCGTGTCCTCGGACACCTCACCTCTCGTGTCCTCGGACACCTCACCTCTCGTGTCCTCGGACACCTCACCTCTCGTGTCCTCGGACACCTCACCTCTCGTGTCCTCGGACACCTCACCTTCCTCGTTCAATTTCTGAGCGATTCAAATAACCAATGATTAGGATCTTTGCTGTCACCCTAACAGCCACGTCACCCTAACAGCCACGTCACCCTAACAGCCACGTCACCCTAACAGCCACGTCACCCTAACAGCCACGTCACCCTAACAGCCACGTCACTCTAACAGCCACACTCAATTATTCTTGCAATTGTAATATTCTTATTCTCAAGATTCACCACCTCTACGGGTCAACCTCTCGTAGCATCACCGAGTAGATGATGCTACCGTAGCATTTATCTACCTCCACACAGCTATATATGACCTCACTTACAGTAATGTTTCTACCGTCCCAGAGTTTTGTTTCAGAGTTACGTCCCTCCCCCTCCCCTTCCTCTTCCCCTCTCTTCCCTTCCTCTTCCCCTCTCCTCCCCTTCCTCTTCCCCTTCCCTTCCCTTCCTCTTCCGTTCACATGTCACTTACCACAGAGGCTACAGGCCTTAGGCCCAGGAACCCCAGCGGCTGGGAGGAGAATGTTGGGCATTTTCCACCACAAGATTCTGTAGTTAGTGAGAGGGTGATAGTGAGAGGGTGATAGTGAGAGGGTGAAAGTGAGAGGGTGTTAGTGAGAGGGTGATAGTGAGAGGATGTTAGTGAGAGGGTGTTAGTGAGAGGGTGTTAGTGAGAGGGTGTTAGTGAGAGGGTGTTAGTGAGAGGGTGTTAGTGAGAGGGTGATAGTGAGAGGGTGTTAGTGAGAGGGTGATATTGAGAGGGTGTTAGTGAGAGGGTGATAGTGAGAGGGTGTTAGTGAGAGGGTGTTAGTGAGAGGGTGTTAGTGAGAGGGTGATAGTGAGAGGGTGATAGTGAGAGGGTGTTAGTGAGAGGGTGATAGTGAGAGGGTGATAGTGAGAGGGTGAAAGTGAGAGGGTGTTAGTGAGAGGGTGATAGTGAGAGGGTGATAGTGAGAGGGTGTTAGTGAGAGGGTGATAGTGAGAGGGTGTTAGTGAGAGGGTGTTAGTGAGAGGGTGTTAGTGAGAGGGTGTTAGTGAGAGGGTGTTAGTGAGAGGGTGTTAGTGAGAGGGTGTTAGTGAGAGGGTGATAGTGAGAGGGTGTTAGTGAGAGGGTGTTAGTGAGAGGGTGATAGTGAGAGGATGTTAGTGAGAGGGTGTTAGTGAGAGGGTGTTAGTGAGAGGGTGTTAGTGAGAGGGTGTTAGTGAGAGGGTGATAGTGAGAGGGTGTTAGTGAGAGGGTGATATTGAGAGGGTGTTAGTGAGAGGGTGATAGTGAGAGGGTGTTAGTGAGAGGGTGTTAGTGAGAGGGTGTTAGTGAGAGGGTGATAGTGAGAGGGTGTTAGTGAGAGGGTGTTAGTGAGAGGGTGTTAGTGAGAGGGTGATAGTGAGAGGGTGATAGTGAGAGGGTGTTAGTGAGAGGGTGATAGTGAGAGGGTGATAGTGAGAGGGTGTTAGTGAGAGGGTGATAGTGAGAGGGTGTTAGTGAGAGGGTGTTAGTGAGAGGGTGGGAACTGTGTGTGGGGGAGGGAGGGTGTCAACAATGTGGGGGTTTAGAGTCCCCCCCCCCTCCCACCTCACCCCTTCAGTCGCTCGAACCATTTACAGTCACCTCCAGCAATCCAACCTTCCATTACCCACTTCAAGGGTCGTATTTCACTGCCAAGTTGCGTGCGAAGAGTTAATATTTCCTCTCATCCCGCCTTAAGGACATATTTACGACGTTCTGTACAGCTTCAGAGTTGTGCAGTCTTCCCAGATGTTGGCGGCCAGTACTCTTTAGTGAACCAGATCGTAAACCCTTCCTAAGTTTCTCTTAAGTTCTGTTGAACATCGCCAGATGTGTTCAGTCACATGTTGGTTAAGTATGAGGCGGTATATTAAATTTTTGCAGTTAATGAAGCCGGATTTTCGTGTCAAAAGTGACGCCCAAGAGGAGAGAGACTCTGGAATTGAGCACTAAACTCAAATTAAATCATTACTGTAATAGTTGTTTGAATGTTATTATGGTAATGCATTTTGAGATCTTGTGAGCCCCGGGGCTGACTGATAGTAGTGGCTCTTGTTGTTGTTATAGATTCAGCTACTGGGAACAAAAAGTTCCAAGTAGCACGGGCTATGGTGAGCCCGTAGTGGACTTACCTGGCACAGGAGCGGAGCAAGTAGCACGGGCTATGGTGAGCCCGTAGTGGACTTACCTGGCACAGGAGCGGAGCAAGAAGCACGGGCTATGGTGAGCCCGTAGTGGACTTACCTGGCACAGGAGCGGAGCAAGTAGCACGTGCTATGGTGAGCCCGTAGTGGACTTACCTGGCACAGGAGCGGTGCTGTAAGTGGACTCGTGGCTGTTGTGAAGTGTTCTTATACATGTTAAACGGTGCTCTTGAAGACCCTGGCACTGTGCCACACACGGTGCCATACCTAGCAGCTGGGACAAGCCCTGGCTCCGTGCCACACATGGTGTCATACCCAGCAGCTGGGACAAGCCCCTGGCACTGTTGCCACATACGGTGTCATACCTAGCAGCTGGGACAAGCCTCTGGCACTGTTGCCACATACGGTGTCATACCTAGCAGCTGGGACAAGCCCCTGGCACTGTGCCACATACGGTGTCATACCCAGCAGCTGGGACAAGCCCCTGGCACTGTTGCCACATACGGTGTCATACCTAGCAGCTGGGACAAGCCTCTGGCACTGTGCCACGGTGCCATACCGTGTGGCCACGCCTGACCATAGTCTATACTAGAGAGGTCACTTGAACCTACCAATCTAAAGCAAGCAGAGAAGCACTAGCCAATCAGCGTGCGATGTAGGTCTCCAGAAGTGCTGGAAGGATTCTTATGATTGGTTGGAGAAAGCCCTGTGGTGATTGGCGAATCACAGGCCAACACACACACACCTTGGTCCTAGCCTGAAAGCCTAGGCACCTGAACCGTCCTGTCACTTAACGGTCGTATTTTTTACGGAGTCAACCTGTCTGTTGAAAATGCAACCTCTTAGTAAAAATTTATAATTTATAATTGAAGTTTTCAGAAGCGACAGATTGGGAGTCGTAGGCTCCTGGAGCCAGATTCACGAAGCAGTTACTCAAGTACTTACGAACGTGTACATCTTTCCTCAATCTTTAATGGCTTTGATTACATTAATTAAACAGTTTACAAGCGTGAAAATTTCCCAACTCGACTATTGTTATTGTTATACACAGCCTCCTGGTGCTTCGGAGCTCATTAACTGTTTAATAATTGTAAACAAAGCCGCCAAAGATTGAGAACAGATGCACAGGTTCGCACGTGCTAACGTAACTGCTTCGTGAATCTGGCCCCTGGGTCGGCAGTTGTGGGGAATTGGGAGAGTGTAGAAGAGGCGAGCTGTATGCGGCTAGTTGGTGTGTGATCACGAGGACCCACTGTGGTGTGTTGCTGTGTCCTTGCTGTGTCCTTGTTGTGTCCTTGCTGTGTCCTTGTTGTGTCCTTGCTGTGTCCTTGCTGTGTCCTTGCTGTGTCCTTGCTGTGTCCTTGTTGTGTCCTTGCTGTGTACCATTGCAGCCAAATTAGCGTGCAACAAAGATGAAGTTGAATTAGATCTAGGTATCCCCATCTCTGCTGTCAAAACTGTATTGGTCCAAACATTCAGGTCTTATAGGAAAGAAGTTACTGACTCCCAACGACCTGAAAGTACTAGTATAAAAAGCTATGATTTGTTCAGATCTGAAACCTATGTTTATGGGCAGCACCAAACGTGGACCAGACTGTGCGACACAGTGGTTGCCAGGATCAGGTTAGGTTACCGTTAACTGTGGCAGGTGGTTACCGTTACCTGTGGCAGGTGGCTACCGTTACCTGTGGCAGGTGGCTACAGGTAACGGATCTCCCAATCCTGAGCACTCCAGTTGCAAACTCTGTGAGCAGGAACTGCGGCATGATCTCCCACACTACATCACCGAATGCCCAGTTATTAGACCTTTCAGACCCGTTGGCATGAGGTATCTGGAGCTTTGCAATTACTTTATTCACTCTCGTATTCTTGAAGATATCCTCACAGTGTACTCAAAATTTGCCAGTGCAGGCTATTAAACATATGGCCCTCTATGACTAACCATCCTGCGAGATGGGAACTTTTAATACCACTGCTACATTATTCAATCTTGTGTTGTTGATATGCTCAAAATGCTTCCGGAGTTTGCCAGTGCAGACCGCTTATCACATGCCTCTGTATGACTAACCATCCTGTGTGATGGGGATTTTATAGCATCACCTAGTTAGCTTTTTTGACACACTGTACTCCACTTCATATAGTCTAGGGTAGCTGCACTAATGCAGATGTACCTCATGTATTAATAATAATAAAAAAAGTACCCTATCTTCATGTATCGTCTCCTCTAGGGACCTGCACTTCCCTACACCTCAAGTCTCCTTTCATATTGAAAACCGATATGTCACTCTTAGTGAGCTTGCCAGAATGAATGTTGATATTTGTACTTGTTACATCAGGGGTTGCTTATCTAACAAGATAAGCAACATCTGCATAGTTCCAGGAGGATGGGTGTGTAACAAGAGACTTTAAGCGCCCCACAGGGAGCTGTCCTCAGCTCCACATTGTTTCATCTAAATAAAAATGTAAATATTCGTTTCTTCAAAATCGCTAATCTCCGAAAGTTCTTCGCCGATTGCTTTGAAATTTTAACACAACGTTCCATTCGCATACGACCGTGTTTTTATATACCTACTATATAGATGTAACGTCTGTGACAGGTAAAAACATGTTTTTTGAAAAACTGTGTTTTTCATGTGTTTTCATATGAGGGAAAACTCCAAAATCTCTTTACCGATTGCTTTGATATTTTGCAACAATGTTGTATATGAATACACGCGTATTTTTATATGCATACTATATACATGCCTCACCTGTGACAGGTAAAAACATGTTTTTTTTAATAACAGCGCCATCTGTTGCACGTAATAGCAACACTCACTACACTAAATGTTACGATTCCATTTCACTGTTCCAATTGCAATGATAAATTTAATTTTCATATATTTCGATTTACTTTCATTTTCATTTAATTATTTTGTGTGACATTGCGTTGGAATTAAGCTGTGTTGTTTACCATACCGTCCATTTCGTGAGTATAGTTAATTTTTTAGTTTTTTTCATTATTTTCATATCGTTTTTTTATAACTGTTCTTCATATTTTTCAGTGATTGGAACATCAGATCATTTGGGAATGTATCGGACGAGCGAGTAGGGAAATGGTGGAGGAGAAGAAGGGGACGGGGGAGTGGTGGATGGCGGGGAGGACGAAGGGCTGGACGAGGGGTAGGAGGATGAGGGGACAGGGAGGGATGCTGTGGCTCAGCTAGTATTATAATAAATGTGCTACGAAACTGTGTGGTCAGTAAAGCCAATGAACACATCATTAGCCATGCTGATGATATAATCATACATGCTGATCAGATAATTATACATACCACTGGGCATGATAACACTCAAGACACGTTTAACTCTGTATTATAATCCTTTCAGGACCTAAGCCGTCATGTGAGCAGAGAACAAAGGTACTAAGTCGCCCACCGCACAAGTACTTGCACAGAAGCCCCAGACCTTCCTTTATTGCAGGTAAACATGGTTCAAAATGAGTTACTAAAATTTAAAAACTCTGGGGTAGAGGTAGCTGCATGTGTCCTCTTCTCTGGGGTAGCGGTAGCCGCATGTGTCCTTTCCTCTGGGGTAGAGGTAGCTGCATGTGTCCTCTTCTCTGGGGTAGCAGTAGCCGCATGTGTCCTCTCCCCCGGGGTAGAGGTAGCCGCGTGTGTCCTCTCCCCTGGGGTAGAGGTAGCCGCGTGTGTCCTCTCCTCTGGGGTAGAGGTAGCCGCGTGTATCCTCTCCCCTGGGGTGGAGGTAGCCGCATGTGTCCTCTCCTCTGGGGTAGAGGTAGCCGCGTGTATCCTCTCCCCTGGGGTAGAGGTAGCCGCATGTGTCCTCTCCCCTGGGGTAGAGGTAGCCGCATGTGTCCTCTCCTCTGGGGTAGAGGTAGCCGCATGTATCCTCTCCTCTGGGGTAGAGGTAGCCGCGTGTATCCTCTCCCCTGGGGTAGCGGTAACCGCATGTGTCCTCTCCTCTGGGGTAGAGATAGCTGCATGTGTCCTCTCCTCTGGGGTAGAGGTAGCCGCATGTGTCCTCTCCTCTGGGGTAGCGGTAACCGCATGTGTCCTCTCCTCTGGGGTAGAGGTAGCCGCATGTGTCCTCTCCTCTGGGGTAGCGGTAACCGCATGTGTCCTCTCCTCTGGGGTAGAGATAGCTGCATGTGTCCTCTCCTCTGGGGTAGAGGTAGCCGCATGTGTCCTCTCCTCTGGGGTAGAGGTAGCCGCATGTGTCCTCTCCTCTGGGGTAGAGGTAGCCGCATGTGTCCTCTCCTCTGGGGTAGCGGTAACCGCATGTGTCCTCTCCTCTGGGGTAGCGGTAACCGCATGTGTTCTCTCCTCTGGGGTAGAGGTAGCCGCATGTGTCCTCTCCTCTGGGGTAGAGGTAGCCGCATGTGTCCTCTCCTCTGGGGTAGAGGTAGCCGCATGTGTCCTCTCCTCTGGGGTAGCGGTAACCGCATGTGTTCTCTCCTCTGGGGTAGAGGTAGCCGCGTGTGTCCTCTCCTCTGGGGTAGAGGTAGCCGCATGTATCCTCTCCTCTGGGGTAGAGGTAGCTGCATGTGTCCTCTTCTCTGGGGTAGAGGTAGCTGCATGTGTATCCTCTCCTCTGGGGTAGAGGTAGCCGCATGTGTCCTCTCCTCTGGGGTGGAGGTAGCCGCATGTGTCCTCTCCTCTGGGGTAGAGGTAGCCGCATGTGTCCACTCCCCTGGGGTAGAGGAAGTTGCATGTATCCTATCCTCTGGTGTAGAGGTAGCCGCATGTGTCCTCTGGAGTAGAGGTTACCGCGTGTATCCTCTCCCCTGGGGTAGAGGTAGCCGCATGTATCCTCTCCCCTGGGGTCTGGGGTAAGGGTAGTCGCATGTATCCTCTCCCCTGGGGTAAAGGTAGCCGCATGTATCCTCTCCCCTGGGGTAGAGGTAACCTCGTGTAACCTCTCCCCTGGGGTCTGGGTAAGGGTAGCCGCATGTATCCTTTCCCCTGGGGTAAAGGTAGCCGCATGTATCCTCTCCCCTGGGGTAGAGGTAGCCGCATGTATCCTCTCCCCTGGGGTAGAGGTAGCCGCATGTATCCTCTCCCCTGGGGTAGAGGTAGCCGCATGTACCCTCTCCTCTGGGGTAAAGGTAGCCGCGTGTGTCCTCTCCTCTGGGGTAGAGGTAGCCGCATGTATCCTCTCCTCTGGGGTAGAGGTAGCCGCATGTATCCTCTCCCCTGGAGTAGAGGTGACCGCATGTATCCTCTCCCCTGGGGTAGAGGTATCCGCGTGTATCCTCTCCCCTGGGTTAGAGGTAGCCGCGTGTATCCTCTCCCCTGGGTTAGAGGTAGCCGCATGTATCCTCACCCCTGGGGTAGAAGTAGCCGTATGTATCCTCTCCCCTGGGGTAGAGGTAGCCGCATGTACCCTCTCCCCTGGGGTAGAGGTAGCCGCATGTATCCTCTCTCCTGGGGTAGAGGTAGTCACATGTATCTTCTCCCCTGGGGTAGAGGTGACCGCATGTATCCTCTCCCCTGGGGTAGAGGTAGCCGCATGTATCCTCTCCCCTGGGGTAGAGGTAGCCGCATGTATCCTCTCCCCTGGGGTAGAGGTAGTCACATGTATCTTCTCCCCTGGGGTAGAGGTGACCGCATGTATCCTCTCCCCTGGGGTAGAGGTAGCCGCATGCACCCTCTCCCCTGGGGTAGAGGTAGTCACATGTATCTTCTCCCCTGGGGTAGAGGTGACCGCATGTGTCCTCTCCCCTGGGGTAGAGGTAGCCGCATGTACCCTCTCCCCTGGGGAAGAGGTAGCCGCATGTACCCTCTCCCCTGGGGTAGAGGTAGCCGCGTGTGAGGCTCAAGGGTAACACAGCTGCCCATCTCCCATCTAAAAGAGCGGTGATACCCCAGCCCCCCGGGGCTGACCTCCAGCTGGGTGATGGCAGCCCTCACCCCACAGAACCCTCAGGTGGGCAGCCCTCACCCCACAGAACCCTCAGGTGGGCAGCCCTCACCCCCACAGAACCCTCAGGTGGGCAGCCCTCACCCCCACAGAACCCTCAGGTGGGCAGCCCTCACCCCCACAGAACCCTCAGGTGGGCAGCCCTCACCCCACAGAACCCTCAGGTGGGCAGCCCTCACCCCACAGAACCCTCAGGTGGGCAGCCCTCACCCCCACAGAACCCTCAGGTGGGCAGCCCTCACCCCACAGAACCCTCAGGTGGGCAGCCCTCACCCCCACAGAATCCTCAGGTGGGCAGCCCTCACCCCCACAGAACCCTCAGGTGGGCAGCCCTCACCCCCACAGAACCCTCAGGTGGGCAGCCCTCACCACACACAGAACTTTCAGGTGGGCAGCCCTCACCCCCACACAGGACTCTCAGGTGGGCAGCCCTCACCCCACAGGACACAGGTGGGCAGCCCTCACCCCCACAGAACTCTCAGGTGGGCAGCCCTCACCCCACAGGACACAGGTGGGCAACCCTCACCCCACACAGAACCCTCAGGTGGGCAGCCCTGGCCCCGCACAGAACTCTCAGGTGGGCAGCCCTCACCCCGCACAGGACACAGGTGGGCAGCCCTCACCCCGCACAGGACACAGGTGGGCAGACCTCACCCCCACAGAACCCTCAGGTGGGCAGCCCTGGCCCCGCACAGGACACAGGTGGGCAGCCCTCATCCCCCACAGAACCCTCAGGTGGGCAGCCCTCACCCCCACAGAACCCTCAGGTGGGCAGCCCTCACCCCGCACAGGACACAGGTGGGCAGCCCTCACCCCCCACAGAACCCTCAGGTGGGCAGCCCTCACCCACACAGAACCCTCAGGTGGGCAGCGTGCCCTCGGGGCTCCATACCCCGAGCTAATTTTAGAGTTATAAACTCTGGAAGATCCTGGAAGATACGCCCCGCCGCCAGACCCCTCACCGACCCGTCACGGCGCAGAACTTCCCGGCATTAATCTTCGCCAGCAGGTCAGAGCGCTAATCATTTTATTATCAAGTGAATTTTATGAGGGGGATAATGAGGCGAGAGACGTGTAGAGGCTCTATATGGTTCCCTCACCACAAAAAATAGAGGACCTCTTCCTCCGGCCCCGTAAGGACGGGCGGGGGACTTTTATGCAGGCCAGAACCTGTTGTTATGTACGGCTCCTTATGGACGGGTGACAGGTGGTGGGGGGACAGGCCTGCCACGGGTGACAGGTGGTGGGACAGGCCTGCCACGGGTGACAGGTGGTGGGACAGGCCTGCCACGGGTGACAGGTGGTGGGACAGGCCTGCCACGGGTGACAGGTGGTGGTGGGACAGGCCTGCCACGGGTGACAGGTGGGGGGACAGGCCTGCCACGGGTGACAGGTGGGGGGACAGGCCTGCCACGGGTGACAGGTGGGGGGACAGGCCTGCCACGGGTGACAGGTGGGGGGACAGGCCTGCCACGGGTGACAGGTGGGGGGACAGGCCTGCCACGGGTGACAGGGAAGGTGGTGGTACCTACTACCTAGCACAGGAGCTGGGACCTCCCTCCCAGCACCTCTTCTCTACCCAGCACAGGAGCTGGGACACCCTCCCAGCACCTGTGTCAAGTGTGGCGTCACGGGTCACTGGTCACCCCCTCGTGTAGGACAGACGTGTAGACAACCTTCACATCTTGTGATGACGACAACCTCTCCTATACAAGATATAAACAAAAATAAGAAATAATTTGTTCATGTAATGTAATAATAATTGTAGATACTTTAATAAGTGGTTATAATACAAACGTTATTATCTCACCTTTTGTTATGGAAGTTCAGGATTGTGTTGACGTATTAATATAGATATGGAGAATATTTCCATTGGAATACAGAGAGAAGAATAACAGAACAGACAACGTATCTTGGACAGTTGCACCTTCGGCCTTGACATCTGACCTGCCACTTTGACTATTGGGCCTTGACCTCCGTCCTTAACCACTGGTCCGCTGCCTCCGGGTCACAGGTGGCGGGCACACCTTTATCTTCCCCCTTTGTTTTTAACACATTTATGTACATGTACATTTGTGCAGCTGCCCCTAGACTATATGAAGGGGAGTACAGTGTGTGTCAACAGCTAGGCTACGTGATGCTAAAGTCCCCATCACACAGGATGGTTAGTCATACAGGGCCATGTGATCAGTAGACTGGCAGACTCTGGGTGCATTATGAGGATATCTTCAAGAACACGAGAAGTAATAAAGTAATTGCAAAGCTCCAGGTACCTCATGCCAACAGGTCTGAATGGTCTAATAACTGGGCATTCGGTGATGTAGTGTGGGAGATCATGCCGCAGTTCCTGCTCACAGAGTTTGCACCTG